CCGTAGCCCTGATCGCGGTCGTAATCGTTGTATCCCGACATGGTTTGGTTTGAACAAGAAGAAGATCTTGTACACGAGTATGAGAGGCGAAAGAAGAGGATAGGGGGACGCGTAAGCTGGCTATTAAAGTGGGTCACGCGGTATCATTGAGCATGGTGCCGCCGGCGGCGTTCCTAACGTGAATGGTGATGCTACTAGCATCACAAGTCAAAGAGATGAGACCAAGTAACGGACAGGGGATCTTGTGGCTTTGTTCACTTCAACCCGAAGGATCGTGATTTGCTCTATTGCTGTTTGTTTCTACCGGTGCGCAGCGGGATTGCCCTGTCACAGCTATCAGTGAAGTTCACAGTCATGGCGGAAAGTCTAGCCCCACCGCGGGGCGCCCCCACGTTCAAACAAGCCCACCACGTGCGAATTCGCAATCTACTACAGGACTGATGGATACAAACTTCTAGACAGCTGCATAAATAGCCAGTATTAGTACTAGTATTAGATTTGTGCGGTCACGAAAGCCTGAAGTTCGAGACCCTTCCAACTCAGCCCTGATGCATATAAGTTACCCTACCCCGCGGCATCACATCAAATGTGGTAATGAATAGGACCTAGAGAATGACTGAGCTAATAGCCGTTGTTGTCTGTGTTTGCGTCAATGTTGATCCACTCTTATAGACCTTTCCAGATCTGCTCCATGAAGTTGAGGCCTGGGTTGTATGGTAGCCAATTCCCAAGTCTCTTGCCGCCTTCGTCCCTCAGGAAACTCACCCGTCGGAGGGCACCTCGATGCAGGCAAAGACTTTCACAAGGAGAGGTGTTATTGTATGATATGTTCATCAAAACGTCGTTCTGGTCTAACTCAATCATCATAGCCTCATCTTCCAATCGTAGGAATACCGTAGCAATGGATACCGCATCTAGTACCTGTCATTGCGGTCATTGTCGCGCCCATATTCACGCCCATATTCACGCCCCGATTCGCGCCCCGATTCGCGCCCCGATTCACGTTCATGGCGGTATTCCTTCATTTCTTCCTCGGCCTTGCTCCCCAGAAAGGCGCCGGCGATTCCTCCTGCAATAGCGCCCATGACTCCTCCTTCGTGTTCTTCCTTTTTCTTCTTGTCATGCTCAGAGTCTTTGTGTCCAAAGCGTGAGCCACGCTCCTCACTGTCACGGTCTCCATATTCCTGTCGGCCACTGGGCATTGTTAGCTGGCCTATAAGCGTCAAACTGGCCACTTACTATTGGTCATTAGATTGGCCCCGAGAGTATTCGCCATCTCGACGATCTCCTCCATAAGAGTCACCACCGTAGCCTTGGTTGCCGTACTCTCCACGACCAGACTCTCCGCGACCAGACTCGCCTCGACCATACTCTCCCTGACGGTCTCCCCGACCATACTCGCCCTGACGATCCCTACGGCCATACTCATCTCGCCCATACTCTCCCTGGCGATCTCCATATCCTCCCTGGCCACCGTAGCCAGACTGCCGATCACCGTAGCCTTGATCGCGGTTGTAATCGTTGTATCCCGACATCCTTGGAGAGAGAAAATTGGTAGAAGAGAGGAGAGGAGAAAGGGGGTACACGTCGGCTGGCTTAAAGTGGGGAACATGGCATCATCGAGCATGATGTCGTGATCACACGTGGGCGTTAGCATCACCAGTCACATGTTGGAGAGGGACTTGGTGTCTTGGCAGGGCATTTTTGTCCACGGTCCACTTCGAACCTGAGAATCGTGACTTTTAACTTGCACCCCCACAAGTCGTAAGTAACTTCCATGGCTTTTGTGACTTGTTCTTTGTTGTTCAATACACTACACGCATGACGGACCGGCCCCAGCCTAGCGTGCAGACTGGCAGTGCCAAGAAACCTGCATGTGGTCTATGACACTGTTCTCAGTTGGCCAGGAGTGCAAGGTGACACCGGCAGAACTGCAGTGGGTTCCTTCTGTATGTCGCAGTCAATGATCGGCATCTCCGTTGCACAGCCACCAGCCACTCAAAGGAGTTCCAAGTTCTTGGCTAGCGCTGGATAAACTCGAGCATGAACGGGTCGTAATCTTGGCGGGACCAAGATCCTGTCACTTTCAGTTCACGGGCCCGTTTATTCGAAACGGCAAGCACTGGCCTCAGTTCGGCTTCCTCGAGCACGATAGGCCTGTGAGGTTATTTTGGAACGGGGACCTGGTGAACCGTGGCACCCACCCTGGTCTGGGTTCGTAGATTGTCGGCGCCACGAGCGTGCTAGTACCGGCACATCGGCGAACATGCAGCGTCGCAGACTGATGAAGAGAAGCAAGACGGGATGAGGAAGGCCGACATGGCGCAACGATGGACCGGGAACCCTATCTTCCCCAGATGGCCGTTTCCTGGACATCCAGTAGCCAAAAAGCATTGGGCGCGGAGACGTTTCTTATCGGCTTTCAATCACAGTTTGACCTTCGCCGTTGGGCTTGGGCAGCACTTTGATTGCCCAGTCCCAGTCGTATGAAATGATCCGCATCCCCCACTGTTTGGTAGAAATCTTTTCGGACGGGTCAATAGAGGTTGTCCCAACTCGAATCGCCATTCTTTACCTCATGAAGCGAGTTGGCGGATGATCGGGGCGATTGTAATGCATCCAGCTGTCATTGGAGCCGTCATTGCGTTGGTGCTGGTCTGTTTGTTGATTGCTGGCATTGTATGCTGGATACTCCTCCGCCGGCGACGACAAGATGGCGACCCCGTCGAGGTTTCCATGTCACCCAGCAAAGTCCCTTGGCCACCACAGATCTACCAGGAATCCAGATTCTCCATCCGCTCATCCAAACACGCGTCTATGGTAGCCGGGGCGAAGAAGGGCAGCGCGTCAGCGCGGTCCAGTAAAGTACCGTCTTGGCAGATCCCAATGCCCTCGTCTCTCCCTTCAGCCGAAATCTTCCCGCAGCACTTGATGTCGCATCCAGCATTCCTCGAAAATAATGTGTGTGACGTGCGACCGATGACTGCTAACACCATCGACATTGACAAAAGCAGCATTGCCGATCACTACAAGCTTGAGCCTCTCGCGTCAACTATATCCGATGTGTCGTCGTCAAGGAACTTGATCGACAGACGGAGCTCGATTGAACCGCCACCAGACGCTAGCTACAGTTCGTTCCGCAACTCGATTCAAAGAACTGGGTGATGAATTCAAACGGACAGCAAAACATCCCCAAAGATGGACGCGTAAAGCCCGTGCTGAAGAACCAAGCTTCGAGGCCGCGTCTTATCCCGGCGAACCAACAGTCGGCGGGTTCAAAATGATGAAGTGTAGGAGGATCAATGACTTTCTAGCCAGCGTACATGTATCGTCTTCCAAGTGTGTAACTAGCCATATATTTACCATAATGAATGTGATGGAGTCAGAGATATTTGTACCGATGCACTTTGAACGCCACTCAAACAACTGTTCCGCCAAGACGCACTCCAACACTGGCTCCCTCAGCGCGCATAATCGCGCACCTTAAGCGACGCGGGCACATCCCAACCAGCATGTCGCTAACCAAACTCGACCCTCCCCTATCGCAACCCACCCTTGCGCCAGCGGAACCGGACACTGAAGCAGAAACCACGACACCAGCAGTCGTAACCACGCCGTGCGATCCCTGGCCACGTCCGTACATCTTCGATTCGGGACTCCGCCGCGTCGCACCATATCACTACACCTACAACACGAACGCCAAAGAGCGCTGGCGCGGAAAACCCCTCCTCGAGATCTTCACCTCTGAATTTCGCGACCGACCGGAGGGGTACTACCAGTCCGCCATAAACGATGGCAAAATCCACATCAACGGCCGCCCCGGCACAGCAACCACCATAATCCGCAATGGCGACATCATATCCCATACCCTCCACCGTCACGAACCCCCCGTAACCGCCCAACCAATCGGCATAATCCACGAAGACGACGACCTGCTCGTCATAAACAAACCCGCCGGCGTCCCCGTTCACCCGGCGGGTCGATACAATTACAACTCCGTCGTCGAAATCCTGCGAGCGGAGCGAGCCGCCCCAGGTTGGAATCCCCTCCCATGCAACCGCCTCGATCGGCTCACGAGCGGAGTGATGTTCATCGCGAAGCACAAAAAAGCCGCCGAAATCCTCACAAACCAACTAACAACCCGCACCGTCCGAAAGGAATACCTCGCTCGCGTCCGTGGCACTTTCCCCCCCGGTCCACTAACATGCGACCAACCAATCCTCCAAATCTCCCCCAAACTCGGCCTCAACCGCGTTCGTGCATCCGGTAAATCTGCAAAAACACTCTTCATCCGCGAAGCATCCTTCCCAACCTACTCAATCGTCCGCTGTTTACCCCTCACGGGAAGAACCCACCAAATCAGAGTCCATCTCCAATACCTCGGCCATCCGATAAGCAACGACCCAATCTACGCTAACCGCCGCGTCTTTGGCGCGAACCTCGGGAAAGCCAGTACTTCCGACTCCGATGACGAGGATATCATGACTAGACTGTCTAAGATGGGAAAGGAAGAGGTTGCGGATGCGGTTGCGTATGAAACGGAAATGAGAGAAGAGTATCAGAATCGTATGGCTGAGAGGTTGACGGGAGAGAAATGTGAGGTTTGTGGCACGGAGTTGTATAGTGATCCAGGCCCCCATGAGTTGGGGATTTATCTTCACGCGTTGAGGTATAGAGATGAGGGGGGAAGGTGGGAGTATGAAGCTCCTAGACCGGAGTGGGCGGTTATGCCGGGGGGGGAAGGGGGTTAGGAGGGAGATTGTAGTGATAGTATCTGAACTGTTTTTACGTGTGGATGTTCCATCTCAGTTGTATGATAGACGGTGGTGTTGAAGACTTTTGAATCTCAATTGCCTCTCTTCCATCCGAATCAAACAACCAACATGCTCAAGACAGCACACCTCGACGTAATATCAGCAGCAAAAACCAAATCTTCCTCCCAGGAGGAGGATCGGCAAAAAAAGAAGTGGTTGAGCCTGATTATGCCTTTTAATAGGAATAGCCGAAGGCGGGGCTCGAACCCGCGACCTTGAGGTTTCTTACTCCTAGAGAACTAAGAGCCACACGCTCTACCGATTGAGCTACCCCGGCCGGTTTTACCACCATGTTAGCAATGTAGAAAGCATTATATATATACCTACATAGAATTGTGTAGCCCTCAAATTCATCTCACGTTGAGATGGTTAGGAAAACAGCTACGAATCAAAAAAAAAAAAAAAAGTATGTAAACAAACGTCAATTCATAGGATCATCCACCACATTACGAACCCAACCCCAAACTCTGCAAATCTAATTTAAACTCCGGACGGTCATATCTCCACGTATCAAACGGCCCGGAGCCAGGCATTTCCGTCCCATCAGAGAGAATCAGACGAGGGAATTTATCTCCGTTCGCGGCCCAAATGTATTTATACCCTCTCCTAGGTGCGGCGCCGTATGCGATTTCTGAGGAGGGATTGAGGCGTTCGATTCGGACGCCGTTGGCGAGAGATGGTCGGGTATCCTGTGTTGGTGGACTTGTCATACCAAGACCCCAGCGGGTGTAGGACCTTGCTGTGCTGCATAGCCATTGGGGAAAGCTGCTGTAGTTGACATCAGGATCAGCAGGGACGTCTGGGATTTCGCATGCTTCGCGCACGCGGGCGGCCCATTCTTCGTTAACGAGGACTAGGGCAGCAGAGTGCCAGCCTGCGGCTGTTACGCCGAGGACAAAGTATGCATCCATGCCGTCGTCTTGGTCGTTGGCAACACCGAGTTTCTCGCCCCAGTCTCGACCTTGTTGCTCGACCCACTCGCTGACTTCGCCTTGGGCCGTGGTGTCTTGTGTGCCTAGCGTCATGCGCATGCGTTCTTGGCTCTCTTCGGGATCGGAGGCACCGGATGTTAGGTACCAGATCCAGGCACGCTTTTCTTTCTCGAACCAAACCCGACGGCCTTCGGTATAGGCATGCGGTACGAGCCTGCCGTCGCCGAGGACGTTTTGGTATCTGATGCCACGGAGACGGCCATCAGGCTGACGACCGCCACCAAGTCCTAGGGCACCGCAGGACTGTGGCTCGTGGCCATAGCTAGTAATGTAGCCCTGTGAGTGGAGTGCGTGGAAGTGATGGTCGCCAAATGCAAGACTTATGACGTTCTTGTTCTGCAGAGCGGGGATGCGAGCGAAGAGTGTAGGGCGCTCGTCTAGTTCTAGAGGCTGCAAGTATTGTTCCAGACGATCTTGGGTGCTGGTCAACACACCATCAGAGCGTGTGAAAACGGCAAACGATCGGAACGATCCTTGCACATCAGTTGCGAACTCATCTTGTTCCCAGACGAGTTCGACTGGCCTGGGCATGTCCTGCGTGATGTGGTTCCAAACAAAGATCTTGCCAATCGACGTGTTGAATAGAATATAGTGCTCTAGGACGATGAAATTGCGCACCTCCCCAACTGCTCCTGCCAGATCCTTGTTGACTGAATGGGCAGAGCTGTACGAGGTGCCAGGCACGACAACAGCATCCTGAACGATGGCGGTATCCTCCATCGCAGTGAGGTCCTGCGATCGGGTTGCAGGCCGCCAGATGACAATTCCCGTTCCAACGATTAGTGCAGCGCTCATGTCCCATCCAGCGACCACCTTCTGCACCGTATTTAGACCGTGACCCGAGCTCTCTACCAGGTCATGTTGGGCGAATTGAACTCGCAACGCAGACTCGCCGTTATTGCCCCAACACCAGATGCGTCCGCTATCAGAAATCCCCAAAACATGTGCACGTCCTACTGAGAAGGATGCAATAGCGGTGGAGGAGTCATAGCGCTCATGCGGCGGCGGGAGCCCCGGGGGATACTCCAATGGGGTCGGCACCGCACTCGGGCGACATCTGAACATGTTTTGACCCAGACCATTCAGAACACCGACAATGTATAGAGCTCCCTTGGAGGACAGCAGGACGGTTGACCAGCCACCAGCCTGAACATCGGCAACGACTCCGACTTGATCCATGCCTGTCATCTCGCCCGGCCAGCTGACGCATCTTTCCTGGGCCACATGAAGGGTACGAGTTGGACGGCCGGGCATCGCAATGCTTTCGACCGCGTTCCACGACTGACCCAGACGGCAGTTGTCATTACTTCCCCAGCTAAAAACCCTGGTCTGAGTGTACATGCGCTTGTAGAGCTTCTTCCAACGCTCGCCATCATGTTGTGCCACAGGCTGGTTGGGCACACGGAACGTCTTTCGGATGAGTTTGGACCAATATGGAGCATCGTTTACGAATTCGGGTTGGTGTAGTTGTTTACATGTCGAAGTGAGGTTGAGGAAGTCGGTGGCATCTAGTAGGGGAAAGATGAGATGGAAGATGTCAACAGGCAGGTCCAGAAAGGCGCTCTCCATCTTGTCTTTTGATGGCTGTCAACTTGACAGGGTAGAGTGTTGGATCATTGGGGGGTTGAGATACGTCATGGTGACGTCAGAGCCAGCAGTCACAGAGCCCGTCAGACGTCACGGTGGTTACAAAGGTTACGGTGAGACAACAGGCTAGTCACTATTCGGTCTATCCGTTTACCAGAGATGGATCTACAAATAAACCTGCTCATCTGACGCAGGTGCATCTGTTTGCTCGATGAAGTGATGTGCAATTTGGCTTCGTCAGGGTGCAGCTGTAAAGGGACGGTCCGTAACGATCAAGCGCGTTATTTTCGCGTCGCGTCGCGCGTGTAGACGAACACCACGGCCCAATGTTTTTTGCTTGTATATAGGGACTTCACTGTATGATTGTGAGAGCCCACCGTCGCTTGGTTACGGTTGTCGCTCTTCGTCCCTTCCACCCATCAGCCTCCCAATACGCCAGAATGTTCAGCCGCGAAGTCCGACGAAGCGAAAAGGAAAATACGGCGCGCGCAGCAAGAGAACAGACTAAGCCGAGCACATCCAGCAGTTCTCGATACCCTCTCAATTCGATCACGCCTGTTGTAAACGGTGCGGCGAACGTCACGGGATTCCACAGCGGACTCAAGAAACCGACATCTGGACTGGCTCAGGCATGCAGCGGCTCATTCAACAGCGGAGCGCCCCAGGGACGGCGCATCGTGGTGGAAGACGCCAAGACTAATACCCAGACGGAGCTTTTCGAGGATGAATTCGACAGCGATGTCGACATTGACGAGGATTTTGAGGAGGAAATGGCAGCCATTCGAAGCGCGCAGCCTGTAGCAGCACCATCGACAATCAAATCTCCACTGGCCAAGTACCCAACCCTTCCCCAAATAGCTGCGCAGCAGATCCCTCCAGGGAGTAGTGCTCCCCTGCCGTGGTCGTCTTCTCCTGCGCGCCCCGAAGCTGCACCTGCCCTGCCTGCAATCCCGCGTGGACTCGGCCAGACAGTGCAGGCGGAGCAGAACGGCCCACCGCCGCCTCAGACAAAACCCAAGCGGAAATTGCCCTGGGCTACGGAGCGCGACGCAGCCTCCACCCAGCCCGTTCAAGCAGCACCCGCAAAGGTACCTCGTCTGCGCCAAGATGCCGTGTCCACCCCCCAACGCGCGGGCAAAGAGCGGCAGCATCTATGGAACACGAGTGCGAGCGCGGTCAAGGAGCAGCAGAAAATGCTCCGGGAAGAGCGCAAGGGCGGCAGCGCGACGATAATCAACCCTATCAAAGTAAAGAGCGGCAAGGTCGGAATACCCGACATCAACCTAAGCCACGAGCAACGCTACGTACTCAAACTAGCCGTCGACCAAGCCAAAAGCGTCTTCTTCACCGGCTCAGCCGGAACAGGAAAATCCGTCCTCCTACGGGCCATCATCCGGGCCTTACGCCAAAAATACAAGCGAGAAACAGACCGGGTGGCAGTAACAGCATCAACAGGATTAGCAGCATGCAACATTGGCGGCGTAACCCTCCACAGCTTCGCCGGAATCGGCTTAGGAAAAGACGACGTCCCACAACTCGTGAAGAAAATCAAACGAAACCCCAAAGCCAAAAACCGCTGGATGCGGACCAAAGTCCTCATCATCGACGAAATCTCCATGGTTGATTCCGACCTTTTCGACAAACTAGAAGCTGTAGCGCGACAGATTCGCAACAGCGGGAAACCCTTTGGTGGCATCCAACTCGTCATCACTGGCGATTTCTTCCAGCTCCCACCCGTCCCTGACCAAGGAACCCGCGCAGCCAAATTCGCGTTTGACGCCGCGACATGGAACACGGTGATTGAACACACGATAGCACTGCACCAGGTTTTCCGCCAAAGCGATCCTGTCTTTGCAGGGATGCTAAACGAAATGCGCGAGGGCCGGCTGTCGCAGAAATCTATCCAGAGTTTTCGCGGACTTAGCCGTGAGTTGGACTACCATGACGGTTTGGTCGCCACGGAGTTGTTCCCGACGCGGCAGGAGGTCGATCGCGCGAACATGGAGCGGCTGCGGCATTTACAGGGCGCGGCGGTGTGTTTTGAGGCACGAGATGGAGGGACGATCACAGATAAAGAGTTTCGAGACAGACTTCTGAACAACTGCATGGCGCCTGAGGCAATTACCCTGAAGAAGGGCGCGCAGGTGATGCTTATCAAGAACATGGACGATGGGCTCGTGAACGGGAGTCTCGGAAGCGTCGTGGCGTTTATGAACGAAAGTACGTTTGAACGATATATCCAAAGCGATAAAATCGATGGGGAGGATACCGGAACAGGCGGTGTTGGTGGGTATTCTACAGCGCGCGAATATCCCGTCGTGCGGTTCGATTTGGCGGACGGCACAACGCGTGATTTACTCTGTCAGCCCGAATCCTGGAAAGTTGAGTTACCGAATGGTGAAGTTCAGGCCTCACGGTCTCAGATTCCGCTGATCCTCGCTTGGGCGCTGTCGATTCACAAAGCGCAGGGTCAGACGCTGCAGCGGGTAAAGGTTGATTTGGGAAAGGTTTTTGAGAAGGGACAGGCGTATGTTGCGCTTTCTCGTGCTACGTCCATGGAAGGACTGCAGGTTCTTCGCTTTGACCCGTCAAAGGTCGTTGCCCATGACCGAGTAAGGCAGTTTTACTCGCAGCTTTCACGGGCAGAGGATCAAAAGGGAACGTAAACTGGTCTATATTTATTGACAGCTCAACGAGG